ATTAGACATCCAAGAGGAGAGGTGAAGTTAGCAGTCAACTACATGCATCTGGAAGGAATTTATTTTTTTTAATTTATATATAATCAAATGTTATACATCCATAAAATTATATTTTAAAACTTTAATGGCATGGATGGGAAAGATGCTTGGAAAAACAAGTTATAAAACAGTATGTACATTACTGTCCCATTTTTGGAAGTCGGTAGATCTCTTTATCAAGGCATATTTTATATACATGTGTGTTTCTGGTCTCAGCAAGTACTTCCTATTATTCAGGTCTTGCCTTTGATGATCTGTTAATGCACCAATATTGTCAAATTGTGGAAAAGGTCAACATGTTTTCATTCTGTCTAGAAAATCAAACTTGTTTGGGAAATCCAGAGATCCAGGGCCCATCAGAAGAGAGATATTTAGGACTGAAAAGATTTCATGCATTTATACAAAACACAAGAAGTTTAACAGATTTAGGAGAGGAATGTAAAAATATGTGTCCCTGAAGTTATCTCTAAGAAACGAATTCAGGTTGCATACGCAAGATTGTTCACAAGGAAACCACTTTTAGTTTCACCTTCCCAGCTGAAGTCTGGTTTTTAAGCCCAGGATGGTTCTTTCTGAGTAAAGAGTAGGTACTAATTTTGACTTAACCAAAAACAAGATGTAGTAGGCCAGTGATCCTAGAGCTCTGAGTATCAGCTTCTAATTCTGAATGCCATCAGAGGCTTTACTATCTATGCTTAGCTTAAATGTCTAAGGGAGAAGTAGTAGAGAAGGAAAGGAATATAGTATCAGGAGATAAATTAGGGCCTCTTCCTAGAGCCCAGGTCAGTGCCCAAACTGGCTTTGCTTTTGCAGTGCGGGAAGGCCTGGGCTGCACATCAGAGGATAAACCCTGGTGCACACTAAAGCAGACCCGGTCTTTCTCCCAAAGGAAGAGAAAGGAAGAGAGAAGGAAGGTCAAGGGGAGCAGCCTAAGCTAAGCTTTCCTCGGGTGTTACAGGTGATCATCCCGCCTACAGGAATAACAGGGACAAGGACCTGAACATGTTTCATATTCCAGGCACGTCTCTAAGGGTTTTATGTCCTATCCCAGTTGATCTTCACAGGCCCCTGTGGGAGTGGGTATTACTGTCATCCACATGTCCTCATGAGGCATAGAGGGAACATGCCAAGATCATGGGACTGATAAGAGGCAGGACGGGGAGCCCTCTGACTCTCCCTCTTGTTCTGCAAGTATCCAACTTATACAGAAGGAAAAATGAATAATGTTCCTAGTAGGAAACTAGTGTTTTCTCTAACAACGAAAATAGTACTGTTTGAGCCTTAATATCAGTTGATTTTAAGCAGTTGATGCATGCCCTTTTATTGTGAAGCTGAAGGGAGTCTTAATTCATTGGTATTTTTAGTCTAAATATATCCAAATCTGTACATTCAAAACTGTTCTTCCAAGTGTACTGACTAGTGCCAATTTGTCATGCTTATTATTAGCCATGTGCTATTATATGTCAGTGTCAAAGTGGCACAATGAATAATTATTTAGTTACTAATACAACTTTTATCCAATTGGGATAATTTTCTTTTTTAATCTGAAAAACAGCACACACCTGAAAAGCATGCCAACCTCTTACCCAAGGACTCAGCATTTTCCTTTAACATAAACACCTTAGATGACAAGCTACTTCATCTATGTAGATTTATGGATTTGGATGTGGCTAATAGAAAATAGAATTTTTCATTTTTTTTAAAGCAGGTATTAAAATGAGATCCAAAATAAATTATATTTTTGTATGTTCAGCATACATTTAATTATGGAATGAGAAAAAGAAAAATGTCAATTGTTATCAAAGCTTATAGATCCTTTTGGGATAAAAAAAAAAAAGGTTATATTTCTATTATTCTGCCACAGAATTCTAAATAATTGGGTCTGATCTTTATCAGCCCTGGGCAAACCAGGATTTCTTCCCTCAGTTCTTTCATTTTAAGCATACAAAGGTATAAATCTTTGGCTCTCTCCCATTGCCAGTGAGCTTTTCATATTGGGTAGGACTCTTCTAATAATCATGGGCTCAACTGGATATGCTTGGAGACAACTCCCTTCTGTAATTGCATTTGGAAGTTCCAGTCATACCTTTTAAACTTCTGTTGGTTAATTAAACATGATTAAAGTATTCAAAGTGCCCTCAGTTTCAGCCTGAGACTAAAAATTAAGATTTGAAATGTTGAGCAAGTGTTTGTTCTGTTCTTCCAGGGAAAAAAGAAAATTATGTCGGCCCAGGTGCCCATGGTTCTTCTAATGGAATGATAGCTTTACAAAATGATAGTGAAATAGGAAGCTTTCCAGTGGACACCGTATCAGAAACGGAACAGTTCCATTTTCAAGTCCCATATAACAGATGACAAATCTAAACAGCATCTAGATTTAAAATTTAAACAATCTGCAAAGCAATTAAATCTTTTAAAAATGGCTTTCAGTAATGGCAGCCACTTAATTTGCATATTTAAACCTATTCTTTTCCTCCTGAAAGACAGTGTAAATCCTTTACAGTTGCAGGAACTTTATCTATGACTGCATTATTTTAATTCCATTATATATTGGTAAATGAAATAAAGGCACATCTCAGCTTTTGAATATTCATTTCATTATTGTCACTTAAAAATGAACCAAGCCCCTCCAGCCCTGCTAACTTTCTGTTAACCTCCTAACTCCCTGGGCCAGGAGGTCTTTCTAGGGTGATGTGAAAAGTAAGCTCTTCCAGCAGTAAAGAATTACCTGTGGCTTTGCGTTGTCTGGAGACCTTTATTTACTTAATGTAAAGTTTAAAAGTTATCAAGACAGTTGACTGACTCTCCATGTGTAAAAGCCTTTCTCCATTTCTTCCTCTTTGGCTTTGGTGTTAATGCATTTCTGAGTGTCTGTGATGCTTAAAGATCCAGTGCAGCTTAGAAATGACAACAGGGTGAAAAAATCAGGGCCCAGGCAAACCATGGGAAGTATTATAGAGAGGGTATTCAAATGAAGTTTTTCCCCCACAAATACCATACTGGCACCAGGGGGCCAATAGGAGCTAAGGTAGAGATGGCAGGTTAGAGCCTAACATACTAACATTATGATTCAATAATAACACCAGCAACCACTAACATTTATTGAGCACTAACTATGTATCAGATCCTGTTTTATGTGTTTTTACATGTATTATCTGATTTAATCCTCACAACCCTATGAGGTAGTTTATAGATACAGAAACTAAGTAAGCCACAGAGAGATTAAGTAATTTATTCCGTCAGTAAGTAAATCAGTCAGACAGTAAACATTGAGGACTTACAGAATCACAAAAATAAAATGAGCACAACCTAGCAGTTTCAGTAGAAAGGGTGAACTTGGTGAGATAAGGCGGGGAAGTTGCTGCATCTCTTTGTTATTAATATCGAGGTAAAATTCAAATAAAGTGAAATGCACAGGTTTTAAATGCACAGTTTGATGTAATCTGTACCCTAATCTAGATATAGAATGTTTCTGCCACTCAGAAAATTACCTCATGCTCCTTTCCAATCAGTTTCCACAGCCACAGCCAACCACCAGTACCAGATTAATTTTGCCTGCATCATATACTTCTTTAATGGATCAAAGTCCACATAAAAAGTCTGTCACTGAAGATAACATGGCACAGAAGAAAACAACAGACACTGTGCACCAACACGCTGTGGGCCCTTGGGCAAAAAACTTAACCTCTCTGGGCCTTCTGTACAGTGTTCAATTTGGTGGTCCTCATGATTCCTTAAAGATCTTACAGTCTGCTTACATTTGTAATCTCAAAGGCCCCATCATCCACTCAGCTCCCTGGGCCAGAAACAAACCTGGGCTCATTCTACCTTTTCACTCTGACAGCAGTTCTACCTTGTAACTTTGTTGAACCTTGTCACTTCCTTTGGCCCACACCTTCTCTTCATTTCTTGCCTTTCTTGTCTTGTAATGACTCTTCCTACCTCTCTTGCCCTTGGTTCTCTCCAAACTATTCTTGTCATTGCCCCCAAGGTAATCCTTGCTAAAATGAAACCATCTGATCCCTTCTCTGTTAAACATCCTGAGTGGGTTTCCACCACTCAGGGTGCTTCTCTATCACCTCCAGAACTGAGTTCAAATTCTCAAGTCTGACAATGAAGGCCTCTGTTGTCTGCCTCCAGCCAGCTTTTAGTGCCCGGAGGTTGACTCTGCCCCGTCTCCACCTGCCTCGCCTGCCTCCTCCCCTCCTTCCACCCCCCACCCCCTTACAGATGCCCTCTGGCCTATTGAGGGCACTGTGCATGCCTGTCTCCCTGGTTCTGTTGTGAACTCATGAGTGAGGTTAGGGCCCATGTTTTACTCATCTCTTTAGCTCCAGCATCTAGCATATGACTGCTGAAAACACTTAACCCCAGAGCAGTTAATCACGAGAGTGCTGAGGATGATGGCAATACCGGCTCAGGGTCTTACTCAGACTTCAAGTTGGTATGTTTTTAAAAATAAAACATATGGAGGTTTTCATGGGTGTCTCACCACTTTATCAAGTCTGATTCTAAGTTTCTCTTTCCAGTAGCTGTCATGGTAACACGGGGTTAAAGATGGACAGTTTGTTTTATTTGGACAGAAGGGTGTATTAATAGGAGGCATCCAGGCAGTGAATCCTGTTGTTGTAAAAGGGCTGGTCCTGTGCTCTTTTGTTCCTGTCTCAAATCTAACTTATGTGCTTATCTGTTTAGTTCTAGACTGTAGGTTACTGTTTCCACGGATGAAGATAATTTCTTCCTAAAGGTCTCTATGGTAATTAGCAAGCAGATGAAAAACCAAACGTGACTGGTCAGTGTTGACCCGGGTGCTGGGACACCAGCATTTATTTATAGCCCTGTTTTTTCATCGCAGCCCACTCTGTTCTGACAGTTTTCCCGGTTTGGGCTCTGCCTTGTGAATCAGCATTGCCGCCCAATTGATATTACTCAGCCTTTGTTTTCATCTTTTCCAAACCTAGGAAAGAACCTCGACGCTGTCCATGACATCACGGTGGCATACCCTCACAACGTCCCGCAAACAGAGGGGCACCTCCTGAGGGGGGACTTCCCCAAAGAGATCCACTTCCACGTCCACCGCTACCCAGTGGACACCCTGCCCGCATCCAGGGAGGACCTGCAGCTCTGGTGCCACAAGCGGTGGGAGGAGAAGGAAGAGAGGCTGCGCTCCTTCTACCGAGGCGAGAAGGATTTCTACTTCACCGGGCAGCCTGTGATCCCACCCTGCAAGTCTGAGCTCAGGGTCCTCGTGGTCAAGTTTCTCTCTTTGCTGTACTGGACCCTGTTCAGCCCTGCCATGTGCCTCCTCATCTATTTGTACAGTCTTGTTCGGTGGTATTTTATAATCACCATTGTCATCTTTGTACTGCAGGAGAGAATATTTGGTGGGCTGGAGGTCATGGAACTTGCATGCTACCGTTTTTTACACAAACAGCCCCATTTAAATGAAAAGAAAGATGAGTGAGATTATAAGGGTCTCTGTTTGGGAAAGGTTGTAAGCCTTTGTACGCTGAGATGCATTTTTGCATGACTACATCAAATATTTCTTACTACCATCATTACTTGTTAAAGACATTTGCACTTTGTTTTGTGGAAAAATATCACTATACACACAATTTTTTTTTTTTTAATCTCTGAATGTAATTTCAATACGCATAGCAGGGAGCAATTGCTGTGAAACAACTCAGGCTCGGACCAGAGTACTCTTAAACAATCGTCAGGCTGTTCAGACGGGACACACTAGATTTCCTCAGAGCTCAATCCCATTTTCTAACAAACCCCCAGACAAGAGCAGATCTGGGGCTCATGAGCACTGGCCCAGCTCAGATGCTGGCACTTCCTTCGCTCCCTCCCTCCCAACTCCTTTTTATGCCAAACTACTGCATCCTTCTATATAACCAGAAAACAGAAATCTCTTGTCCTTGAACTGTCCAAATACTTTGATAGGAGGCCCTTCATTATTCATCAGATCTTAGCATTTAGCCTTGCGCTGACCCAGACATCGGAAGGCCACCTGTGCCCTTTTCTCATGTGGACAATAAGCCCTGGACTGTCTCAGGGGGCCACTTAGAAACCTCAGTTTGAATTTTTAATGATAGGAATTAATACCGTTTAGTGCTTCATGTCTACTTAATCCCACAGGCTTAGTGCTGCTTTCTTTACAGTGTTGGCAGGCGTCGCCTCGCCTGTGTTAAAAACAGTAAAAAGCCACTTTTTTAGGGGAAAGGGTAGAACGTTCTGGTACTGCAATCAGGAACTCTCCTCTGAAGTTGTCTCTTTTGGAGCTATTCCTTTAAAACTTGCCCAAAAACGGAAGGTTAGTGTATTTTCTACATGTACAGGGTTTCTAATTTCTGCCATTGAAACAGCAAAACACTAGCAGACAGGCCAATAAGGGTTTATCCTAAGTTACTCAACCCTGTAGTCTCTACAGACTCTACTCTTAAAACCAAAATAACATAAACATGAATCCTTTTTTTTTAATAACAAGAAAGGGATCTCTCTCATTTTTAGTCCTAGGCTTCCTCTTTCAACAGTAAAATTTAAACCCAGTTTTGACCAATTGTTCCAGTCATTTGGAGTCAATGGAAAATCCAGCAAACCAACAGCAGCAACCTCCTGAGGCATGAAAAATGCGTGGTCGCCGTTTCCACTCCACTGAAACTGCCACTGCTTTTTTGTCACATGATGAGGATGCTGGTTAGAGCAGCAGAAAATCTGAGGCAATTAGAAGTCTTTAGCTGTTAGTAAACCTGTCAGCTTCACTCCCTCCTCGACCCAGCCTCAGAAGCCATTTATTGCTCCGTGTGCTCTTTTGGCATGAACACCTCCCCCTTAATTCCATCTCATGTTTGCTTGACAGTGACTTTCATCCCACAACTGAAATGTGCATTGCCACGAAAGGTGAGCATACTGGGAGGCTTCTTCCAGAAAGGACCGTGTGTGCAGAGCACTGTCCACACGCCTCTTTTTGGAAGAGAACTGGTGCCTCCGCCCAGACCCACCAACCTGCAGTAACTGCGCCCTCGAGGCTGTTTGACCTGCCGGGAGCTTCTAATTAGTATTGTGTGCACCTGCTGCAAGCCCGCTGTATATAGTTTTTAGGGTATTTTTATTATATTTTAATTTTTTCTTAATAAAGGAGGTTTCCAATTTAGTTTCTCTCAGGCTTCTTTTGGTTATATTCAGAAACACAGAAATAGTCTTAAGGGTCGGGACTGCATCTGTCCTGGGCATAGGAGGAGAGCTGGGTTTTCTACCCCACAGGTGTTCACACTGCAGGCCCCCCTGCCTCCAACCTCTCTCAGCCCATTGCTCAGGAAAAGGTCTTCCTTGCACAAGTTCAGAGGGTTAAATGTCCTTTTTAACCCTTTGAGCCTGTGCAAGGGAAAACCTTTTCCTTTCTTTTTAAAAAATTGGTTTTGATCATTTAAAACAAAAAACATGTTTAAGATAAAATGCAAAGTTTTTTGACCTACCTAAAATTCATAAGCACTAAAACTGAGGAACAGAGATGATGTACTTCCTGTAAGAATTAGAAATAACTTGAGAAAGAAAGAAGTTGCTTATTTGTGCTTTTCTACACGTTTGTATTTTTCTTATTTAAAAAATTTGAAGAGATACACGGTTCATGCTCCGGAACTTAGAGCTATCTAAAGGTGATAAGAAAGTGTCACTTGGAATTCGCTTAGCTTCAGCGTGTGGTTGGCCTGAGGAATGACCGCACACCTCCCCACCCTGTCGCTGTGGACTCAGCACCTGCCCGACACAGGCTTCATGCCCCTTCGGGCCTTTGAAGGTAAACTCATGGGGCTCGGACACACTTACAGGGCTCTGTGTCCAGTCGTTAAATCTTTACCATTCGGAAACTTGTCAATGAAGCGAGTGGTGTGTGTAGGACAGGAACCCTTACGCTGAAAATGGGACCCCGGGGAGGGGCACTGATGAGGTCCCAGGTTCCCCCACAGAAGTCACTGACGAAACAGCCACAGGAGGTGCGATTCAGTGGGAGGACGTGGTCAAAGACTACAAGAAAAATCAGTGTGAGAGCCTGTAGCTGCTGATAAAATCCCTCCCTGTTCGTTAGCCGATTAAAACACAGATCCGTACCTGAGTCACCCGCAGGCTAGATGGGCAGCACTCCGTCAGAAGCCTCTCGGGAGCTGAGCCTGGGCGCCGGGAGGGGGGCATCCTCGGTCCCCCGGCCCCCCAGCCGGGCCCTGCCCGGCAGCTCGCATCCTCCAGGGGACCGGAGGGAGCCTGTGGCATTCAATTGTTTACATTTCCTTGTATAAATAATGTGCTTTCAGTGCCTTAGTCGCAAGGCCCTTTCTTTCCTTGTCCCGAGGACTCTGCCGAGCGTATCCTGGGGAAAGGCCTCGAGAGTGGCTCCTGCGCCGGCACCGCGGGGGACGCCTTGGCGCTGGGGCCGAGGTGGCCTGAGCTGGTTACGCCGCAGAGAACACAATGGTCTTGAACAGGGTGAGCTTCGGATCAGACGTGGCCCTAAAGGTGTCTTGTACCAACTTGACCTTCAGTTTTTATTTCAGAAGAGAGCCTTGGGTTTGGTAATTTATTTTTTAAAGGATCATAAAAATAACTCACAGAAGGCCTTAGTTTTCAGCGTCCAGTGGTATGTTTGTGAGTTGTGTCATCTGTGATGTAAACCCCAGAATAAAGTGGAGTGAATTAGAGTTGACCCCTGTGTCATGTTTCTGTTTTTGCAGGATGGGGCACTACTTTGTTTCTACACGTTGTTCTAGCCTTATAATATGTAGCAGTCAGAGCCCTTCAAAGGTGTTAAAAAAAATGACTGAACAGGGAGGGAATATGCTGCCCCCCTAATCGGAAGAGTCAGAGGCCCCAGTTGAATTCAGGGTCAGTGGCTGTAGTCAGAGCTTCCCTCTCAGCCCAGCCCTGAGGGCAAGTTCGTTCTGCAGGTGTGGGGTTGTACCCAGCACCGCTAGGTGTAGGAGGTTAATGGGACTCGATACTCCCCCCACCCCCCACTCTCGGGGTTTCTCTACAAAGCAAATCTTAGACCCAAACTTGAAAAATGTAAAAAATGTACGTAGCAAACACATGAAAATCATGGAACTGAAGGGGAGCAGAATATGCCAACGCCAAAATAATGACTAGGAGTTCAGGACCCGCCACCCCAAAACATGCAGCTTCCATATTGATGATTTTGAGCTGTAGGCACTTGAGAAACAGCAGATGCAGGGAGAGGCTTTCTCTGAACTTTCCTTCTCTGTCTGAAGATGATCCCCCAAAAGCAACCTGATTCCCATAAATCCCCTCCTGGGAATGCCATCAACCACGGAAGACTGACTCCTGTCACAGGAGAAAAGACCAGAAGTTCACACCCCACCCAAACCAGCTGTCGCAAACTATCACACCTCCCATCTCTCCCAAGGAAAAGTCATTGACTCCCCCTAACAGCCCTAACCCGTCCCCTTTCCCCATTAAAATGCTGTTTAATCCTGACTTTGAAGTCACCTTGAGGAGTTCCTCATTTTTTCCTGGTTCCTCCCATGTATACCTGAGGGATACTTGTTAATAAACTTCCGTTTGTTTTTCTCTTGTTAATCTCTTGTATTACAGGGGTCTCAGCCAAGAACTCAGAAGGGTAGAGGGACAATTCTTTTCCTCCCCTACAGAACCTACTCGCGTAAGCTCTGCGACGCTCCCCTGCCTCCTGGTTCTGCAGCAAGCACTTGGCTTGAAGGAGTCCCTCTGGGGGGGGCCCACAGCGTCACTCTCCGGGGAAGGGGCACGAGGGGCCGGGAGAGCGCAGACCTCTAGAGCCGGTGTCCAGGGCTGGCCCGTCGGGCCGGCTGGAGCGCATAGTCTCCCAGCACCTCCCGTCTCCACTGCACTCGTCTCACTGACGAGTTACACACAGGGCTTACGCAACTCCCTGTGGGTTTCCCATGAGAGTGCTGCAAATGCCAGGAAGCCCTGGACGCGCACAGATCCTAATCCACACACAGACCACGCGATCCTCATGCGGAAACGTTTTAAAATTAATTTACTAAGAGACAATTCGTGTGCTCCTGCCACACCAGCCTGATTGGCAGGGCCCATGTGGAGGCTTGATGCCTGCAGTCGCTTCAGCCCTGCATCCACTCGGGTCCAATCCAGTGGGAAGGAGCCAAAGAGGCTGCTTCCCAAGCAGAAATCCTAAACTGGGGTTCAGTGCTCATTCCTGAACCACTTACCTGCCCAGAATACAATGGGGGTTACTCACTGCCCCCCTCCCGAGCCAGGGGTGAAGTTTGTGCCCCTGGAACACAAGGATGCATTTTAAGAAGACTGAAGAGAATGTTAAGAGAACAGGATGAAACGATGCAGGTGGCCAGCTGTCCACCTCAACTGTGGAACTTCCCAAACCCCCGTGGAGTTGGGGAAAATCAGCGTGGCTTCCAGAGAGGGTCCCTGACCCCTGCACAGTGAGACACACAAAGTGGCCGGCAGCCTTCTCCGTCAACACGGGACAGTTGGGAACCCAAGGCACCCCACAGTTGTGCACAATCTCATCAACAGTCTGCCATCGCCTCCACATAGCTCACTCAGACTTCAGCAACGCAGCACTGAAAGCGTTTCTCTTTCCCTGGGAAACCTGTCGAAACACAAACGCAGCAGCTCTAACGTCTCTCCCTGGGGGCTGCCGCACTTCTCCTCCCAGCTCTGCAGGCACGGGGTCTTGGCGTATCACCCATTCCCTCCCTCACCTGCCTGGACAGTCGGGGCGGCATCCCGCCCGGCCTTCCTCTTCGGGGGCAGCCCTTTCTCCCTGCTGCTTTAGTCCCGGCAGGTCTGGGAGCTCCTACCAGCTCTCCCCGCTCCAAGCTCTCCATGCGCCAGTCTCCGTACACAGGGCCCAGTTGATCTCCCCACAGCCCCAGTTTAATCAAGGGGCCCCTCTCACACCCCCTGCTTTAACTGCTGACTGTCAGGTAGCCTAGGCCCTACCTATCCCAGTTTCCCCCAACCCAGCCCCACCTTGGGCCCAGGATCTCCCCAGGCGTGAACCTTTCTAGATCAACACAACTGGTTGCCCAAACCTCACTGCTGCCCAAACCCCACACACCCCTCGCCGTCTCCCGCCCTTGCTCGTATCCCTCACCTGTGAAAGGGGCTTCATCAACCCAAGTCCAGCCAAATCCCATTTCTCTCCGCAGCTTTTCCTGCTCAGTCTTCTTGAAACGCCCTCCTGGCACGGTGATATTTCTCGGCAACTCCTACTGGACTGTATGTTACGTTACGGTTATTTTTCAGTCTTATCGCCTCAGCTGGATTATAAGCTTCTGGAGAGCGGAGATAAGGGTGTCTCATATTTCTCTTATCCCAACAGTGTTCAGCCCAGCATCTGATCCATTCTTTCTCACAATAAATTCTTAGCAGTGATTCCCTGGAAGTCATTCAGAAAGGAGCCTGTTCTCAACTAACGCTGGGCGCAGAAATTTACAAATTCAAAATAACAGCAAAATAAATTGAGATGCAAACCCATCCGCTCCTGGAAAAGAATTAGACCTTTTTTTTTTTTTTTTACAAGAACCAAATCATGTTTGGCTAATGATATAATTTATCAAAATATATTAGTACATAAACTCCTAAAAGGAGAAATTTGGCTTGAAATGTGCTTTATTCTTTGCCCACATGCATGCTTCCCTTCTTTCCAAAAAACCCACTGGTTAGGAAGCACCAGCTTCCAGGCGTGAAGCCAGCCGGACAGAAATGAAGAAGGTAAAGGAGAGGAAGTCCTGCCCAAGGCATAGGCCTTTGTCTGGTGCCCAAGGGTGGGTGCCTGGCTGGAGGTGCCTGGGACGCAGCCGGCCAGCAGAGGGCGCCAGCCCCTGGCTACTTTGCGCGCTGAGTCAGTGTTGACGACAGCAGCCAGTGGTGCAACTTGCAGAAACAATTGTGAAAGGACAACGGACACAACCCACAGCACACAATGGGAGTTTCCCACCGCATAGCTGGTGGGAGACAGGGCCTGGGACAGAATACGTGATTGCCGCTGACGTACGTCTCTAGGGCTTGGGAACTTTGCTGCATAGCAGTGGAAAACCCTGACTGTCTTGCCTTCCAGTGAGAACTCGGAAAGGTAATTCACAGGTGGCGCACACTGTGCTGCCATAAAGGAGCTATGAT